CAAGAGCGTTCTTAAGTGAGTTTCACCACATTTTCCAAGTTGGCCACGCCCACCCAGTCACATGACTGACAAGCTGCTCCCACTCGGTCACATGGCTGGCAAGCCACTCCCACCTGGTCACATGGCCAGCAAGCCCCTCCCACAAAGCAGGCCACACCTACAGACATTTTTGAAACCCACCACTGCTCACAACATAAAAGCTGAGGAAGAACACAAACTTTTGTATTTACAGGTTTTCATTTTCTTAATCAAGTAATTATTCTGCAAGGTCTCTTTCTGGAAAAAAGTACTGAGTGAAGAAAAGCGCAGAGTTGGCCACTAACAATCAGGGTTTATTTCATTGTTACATTTTTTGTCCCTCAACTCAGCTAGTTTTTATGTTGCATCCCCTTCTGCATGTTTCATCTGAAATGAATTCCACGATGCTGACTCTTGTATAACTCTGCTTTCTGTTAACCAGCATTTTGTTTGTTTGTTTGCAGGGCTGACAGGGAGTCCTCAACTTACAGACATTTATTTAGCCAAGTTACAATGCCCCTGGAAATTTTTTTACAACCAGTCCTCACGCTTATAACTGCTGCAGCATGGCCATGTGATCAAAATTCAGGCACTTGGCAACCAACAAGTATTTACCACCGTTGCAGTGTCCCAGGATCATGTGATTGCCATTTGTGACCTTCCCAGCTGCCTTCTGACAAGCAAAGTCAATGGGGGAAGCTGGATTTACTTAACGACTGCATGATTCGCTTAAGTGCAGTGATTCGCTTAAACACCAGTGGGAAAGAAAAGTTGCAAAAGTACTCACGACTCACTTAGCAATCATCTTGCTCAGCAGTGGAAATTCTGGTCCCAGCTGCGGTCGTAAATCAAGGGGTACCTGTATAAGGCTAACTCTGTGCAAATTCCCCACTATACAATTGGGGTTCACATTACATACAATGAAAGGAACCGGAAACTAAAAGTATTCCTATGGCAATGGACAGCATGGCTAAAAGCATTAACCATAGTATAGAAATGCCCCGCCACAGGAAAAAGCTCTGACAATTTTGCTTGATTCAATGGAATGACCAGATTGCCACCAGCTTCTGAAAAGCCAGGAAAGGGAAGAGTCAATTTGCACACTGGGAGTATGCTCTTCCAGAGGAGGAAGTCGTAGTTTGAAAGGCATGTTACCTTGGCTCTAAAAGATGACAACTTCACATTGAGAGAAATATATGAAAGAATGTTGTCTGTCTTGAGAGGGGAACAATGAACCATTCAGAGATGGGGAAAGATTTCTCAGTCATGAGGAGGAGGAAAACACGAGAAAGAAACTCAAAAGGGCCCTGCCTTGATTGTCTTTGGCATCAGATATGGTAGAGAAAATTTTTGACAAGCTTTCAAGGTGATGCTACAATACCTGCAATATATATTTTTTTACAATTGAAATCCTTGTTTCTTTGGTTTCAGGGCCTTGCTAATCTTGTAGTTCTGACCAGATACATAGCAAACCAAGCTGGATCTTATTGAGAGAAGATGGTTCTACAAATATGCATCCCACAGACATGTGATGGCAAACCTATGGCATGCGTGCCACAGATGGCATGTGGAACCCTCTCTGCGGGTATGCAAGCCGTCGCCCCAGCCCAGCATCACAACGCATGCACGTGTGTCTCCTGCTGGCCAGCTGATTTTCAGGTCTCTGCTGCGCATGCTAGAGACCCATGCCGGGGAATGCAGGAGGTATGTTGTGCCCCCCCCCCCGGGCCACATTTTTGGTCCCAGAAGAGCTCAGGGAGTCCTGCTAGGCCCAAAGCAGCTACGGGGGTGTGTGGCAGCACTCCCTGGCGGTCTATTTTTGGTCCCAGGAGTCTGCAGGAAGGTCTGCTAGGCCCAAAATAGGGAGCAGGGTAGCTGGGTGGGGGTGTCTCATGCATGCACAGGGGGAGGGGGAGGTCGTCACGCAAGAAGAAAAAGGTTAGCCATCACTGCCTCAGACTCTGAAAAGATTTAAAGGGACAAACAGCTCCTTGAATTGCACCTGCAACCAAGTGGAACTAGGGCAGCTCTTGGAATAAAGGTGTTACATGAGTGTTTCAGGGAGTACCAACCCCAAGTGTCTGAATTCTGGACTAGCTATAACTTTCCAGTGCTTTTCAAAAGCAGCCCTACCGTAAAACGCATTACAATAGTCATCAATCAAGCGGTGACAAAGGCATGAGTGACAGTGAATAATGCCTGCCATTTCAGGAATAGATGGATCTGGGTGAAGACCCTCTTAGCCACATCTGTCAGCTGTTCAAGCAGGAGTTGTAAATGTAAGAAGACCTCCAAACTGCAAATCTGGAGGAATGCAACCCTGTTTAAAGTAATGATAGTATCTCACTGGAAATAGCTATCCTTTGAACTCATAGCCACGCATCTGAGTCTCAACCTGTTCCTCCCCATCCGAGCAGCTTTCAAGCACCTGCATAGCACTTCAGCAGCATCACTCAGTCAGGATCAAGACATCCAGTTGGGTATCATCAGCATACCAGTGATCCCAACAATCTCATCTAAAAGCTTCATGGAGATGTTGAATAGTACTGTGTTTTCCCAAAAATAAGACCCGGTCTTTTATTTATATATATATATATATATCCCACTGCATGCATATATATATATCCCACTGCATGCAAGTGGTGATAAGTGGTCACAGAAGAAATGGGCTGGCAAGATCAGGTAGGTGTCAGGATATGTGAGGCCTGGCTGCAACTGTCAGCTAAGCAGATCAACCCTCACCCCATCCTCGCTTGATTTTTACCCATGCACCTTGCCCCATCCCATGCAACCAGGTGCAATGGAGTGGGCAGGGTCTTAACTAGGGCTCAGGTTGTGTGTGTGTGTTAGGGCTTATATTGGATGCATGTGTAAAAATCAAGCTACGGGTACCTTCGGGGTAGGTCATATTTTCAGGAAAATACGGTACTAGGGAATACATAGACCTCAATTAAGGTGTCTAGGACTTGAGCTGTTCTCTCCTACAACAAAAAAAACTAAATCTATCTCTTCAAGAAGGAGGAGAACCATTGCAATATAATCTCCTCTCCCACCTAAATTATGGGAGATGGATCAGAAGTTTGACTGATTGTCCTGAAAACCATTGAGAGATTAAGCAACATTAGAAGGGGCACATTAGTCCTATCCTGTTGCCACCAAAATCAGTAAGTGCCTTCAGGCTGATTCTAAGCTGAAACTGAAATGACTGAAATGAATTCAGATAATTTCGACTTGAGCATCTGAACCTTTATGTGATTGGGTTTGTACTTGAAATGACTCTTTATTATGTGTTGCTGGTGTGATTTGACAACATGTTGGCAATGTTCTGTCAGATTAGTGAACGAAACAAGAAATAACCCTTGGAGACAGAATTCAGCCCACAGCTCTGAGATGGCAGTACTGAACAATGCACTTGTACTTCTTGTCTGGTCTTCATTTTGTTTAAAAGAAAACACTTGTCAAAGCACTAAATATGTTCCACTAAGAACCTAACAAGCAAAAAACTGAACTCAATATAGAAAGGTACGCTGTGAAGCCCCTTCCTCATCTACACCAGCAGTGGTGTCAAGAATTGAGAAAACATGCTGGGATCCCAAAACAGTAGTTAAAAACCTTTGAATCCTCTACCTAATTTTTCCAGTGATTCTATTCTCCATGAATAATGCATATTGAAAAATATAGTTGGAGGCTGAACTGCCTAACAAAGCCAATCCTATTCTGTCGAGCATTTCTTCCTTTCATTGTAAGATTTTTTTAAAAGAAACCAGCCCTTACCTATTTGGGACTGTGCCACCATGGTGGATTTCCGGTCACAGAGAGGAGAGAATGGTAGCCCCAGCTCTGCCTCTTTGTCTCCCTAAAGTCGGGGGAAGAAAACATGATTCTCAACATATAATTGAAAGTAAGTGAAAGTAAAGTCAAAGTAAGTGTGAGCATTCAGCCATTACAACTATGTGCATATGTTCCTAAGTATTTAAAAACCAGGATGCGGTGGCTCAGTGGCTAAGACCCTGAGCTTGTTGATCAGAAAGGTCAGCAGCTCGGTGGTTTGAATCCCTAGTGTCACGTAATGGAGTGAGCTCCTGTTACTTGTGCCAGCTTTTGCCAACCTAGCAGTTTGAAAGCATGTAAAAATGCAAGTAGAAAAATAGGGAGCACCTTTGGTGAGAAGGTAACAGTGCTCCATGCACCTTTGCCATTTAGTCATGCCGGCCACATGACCACAGAGACATCTTCGGACAAGCGCTGGCTCTTTGGCTTTGTAACAGAGATGAGCACTGCCCCCTAGAGTTGGGAATGACTAGCACATACGTGCTAGTCACCTTAACCTATTTAAACACCAAACACCTGCCAACACAATCTAGATACGAAAAAAAGGTACACAAATTGGTAAGTAAGCCTGTCCTTTTCTCATTGCTTCCAGTATCACTCTTAAAATGTATCTGTCAGAATGAGTGATGGAACCTCTTGATTACTCAGTGTCTGCAGCTATATGTCCTTCAACGCACTCTCTTTAGTATGTCAACTGAGACTTGTTGTTGTTGTTGTTTTGTGTTCTATCAACTTCTGGACAAGGTAAATGGATTCTCAGTGTCCTTACCATAGCCAAAGGATTGACATTACAGCATTGCAAAGATAAATATATGGCTCCATTTGTTCATTGGATTGAAGACCTGATTACATTTGTGTAGATTGTTTATAATGTAGAGTTGGTATGGGAAAGCGTAATGAAATAAGGTACTCATTTGTATAAAGTATAGTATATACAATATATGGTATAGTAGAAGAATGATAGCTATATAAAAGGATTAGAAATAAATGTTTACGCACTTGAATAATATTTACATTCAATAAGTATATACAGAATTGTAACTGTTAAATGTCATAATGATGTATTATATTTAGTTTCTTTCTTTTTTCTGTTGTTTTTTCACTTTTTCACTTTTTATGTGCTATTTATTTGAAAGTGTATGTATTTGCATTATGTTAGTGTTTTGTTCCTTTCCTTTTTCTGTTATTATCTTAAAAGTAATAAAAACAAATTTCAAAAATCTGTTTTCTATTAACAATGATGCCCTGACTGTTCAGTTATAATGTTTTAAAATTACAATTTGATATGTATTTCCAGTTGTCGTTTATCCAACTGTAATTTAATAACTGACTAAATTCCAAACTTGGTGTTTTTCCAAGCTTTATAGTTATGCTGCTTTGGACTTTCTGGGAATTGCAGAGAGCTGAATTAAACAATAATTTTGCATTTAATTGGGAATTTTGCCTGAAGGAAACTATGAGTAAATATTAAACCTAGTGCACACGGGAATGGAAAAGGTGACATGTGTGAGCAATACAATTCCTGATATAATAACAATTGCTATATCTGCGCCCTTTGAAACCTCACTGTGCTGGATTATAAAAATAACACACACTGTTCCAAAATAAAAGAAAGGGTTTAGTTTGATTACTTTGGGGCAAACAAAGTGTCTAAAGGGTTTCTTTTGGCACCTCCAAAAATCCCACCCATTTCTTAGAATCTGAGTGTGAGTACAACCACTTCACAAAATAGTTCAAAGGATTGTGTTTTTCTTCATGCATCCTTGCAAAGCCTTCTCCAGATATTTATCATCACATGGGAGATGAGTGGATGGGGATCTTTTCAATCATGGAAGCCCCCCTGCCTTCATGATCCTTGCATGTCAACTTTCAGATGCTGGGAAAAGGACTCTTTCACACTGAATGTCCAGGTTTGAATTGTTCTTTGCTCCTGCATTTTGTTCTTTTGATGTGTTATATAGGACATTACTTACATTATTAATTGGCTATTAAAAGAAGATTGGAATAAAAACCAGTTAAGAAATAAAATGGATGAAATGCCTGATCCTAACCACTGCGCCAAAGCCATGGTGGCCCAGTGGTGAGAATGCAGTATTGCAGGCTAGCTCTGCCGATCGCCAGCAGCTCGATCCTCACCATCTTAAGTTTGACTCAGCCTTCCATCTTTCTGAAGTCAGTAAAAAGAGGACCCAGATTGTTGGGGGCAATATGCTGCCTCTGTAAACCACTTAGAGAATCTTATAAAGCACTATGAAGCGGTATATAAGTCTAAGTGCTAGTGCTATCTGTCATGGCTTCTGAAATATTTATAAATACATTGGAGAAAAGTACCTGTCGAAAAAATTCTTCCATCAGGGCCTTTGTCCATCGGTAGTGCAGAACCCACAATTTTGATGGATGGCTGATGTCAGCAGCATGGAGCATCAAGGACATGGCTCGGGCTTTGTCTATCCTGTCCATTGAAAGACATTGTTCTCATTATCTCTCTACAAAAATAAGCCTTGCTCCAGACTGAGGATGCCATTCAAACTACCAAGCCTTCTGCAGCTACAGAAGGAAGGATGAAGGAATGCCACTTACCCTTCTGTTTGCTGAAGAGTGTGCCTCATTGTTTTGATTTGCTGGAAATGTCCAGACATATCAGTAGATAAAACCATCTCAACAACCAGGTTGCGCAGATCCCTGTGAGCAATCAAAGTGATTAGAGTGGCATTAATTTTGTACTGGGGCACGTGGATTGTACTGCACTGCCTCATTTGTTTCTCAGAAGCAAAAATAACATTAGAAAAGAAGTGAAACAATGAACAGCAACCTGCAATTTTATGCTAGACAGCTTTAAAAACATAACTATAATACTACTATTATCTATATTTTTACAGCAAGTCTTTTCAAAATTGTGACCAGAGATTTAGATACAATGGGGGTTGGCTTTCTTGCTTGCCCACTATGGCAGTGAGCAGATTTACACGTGGTTATAATTCTGCCATCATTGTAGACAGAAGCAACCAACAGGTCAGAAATGGGCAGTCTGGGCCTCCCAGTCCATGTCTAGCCCATTTTTGTGGCCTGAAATTGGTTCTGTTAAATTTTCAGCAAAAAGAAAAGTAATTAAGCATGTTAAGGACTTAAGAGAGGAATCATGTAAGCTAAAAATCCCACCTTCCCTCCAAATGAAGGAGAATGGACTTCAAATTTTAGGCCTGTTCCAATAACACAATAACATCATCACCCTATAGAAAACAACAACTCTAGACACACAAATATCCAGATCTACATTAAAATATGTAATTAAGAGAAAGTGGTTCCCTTCCAAAGGATACCCTACTGTAAAGATCCCCAATCACCCAGGCCACGGCTGTGCAAGTGGCAGAGGTGTGGGCAGGCGGGTGCATGAATCTGCATTTGTGCAAGCAGGGAGAGTGCATGCCTGCCATTTGTGCAAATGGAGCTGCCCTTGCACAAAACCATCCCTCCCTCCCCGCTGGTCCACTAAGTCGAAAAGCTTGGGGACCACTGCCCTACCATAAAGGCCTCCCTGTTGGGGAATATCTCTCTAAGGTTGTAGAGGTAGTGGATGAAGGAGTACAGCAACCAAATTTGTAATTTGTGATAGAAATGTCTTTACGTGGTACTCTGTATGTGACAATCCTCCCCAAACACCTTGATGTGTCAATCATATCTTGGAAAGGACATATTTTCTATGGAAACAGAGAAGCATGTCCTGTAGCAACTGTCATTGATTAGTAACGGGCAACTTCCTTTCAATTAAATGTCCAGGGTACGTTTGCTTTATGACCACAAGTTTTGGGTTATTTTATACTAGTTCATGCTATCTTGGATATGTCAGTTTCTGAGCTGGTCAATAAGTAATACAAAGTGGTTTGATTTTAGAATATTCTAGGACCAGGAATATTTTCCCAAGGTCATTTTTTTCCTATACATTTTGAGAGGGAAAGGAAGTGCAATGTAAACAAATAGCATTTGGAGGAGGTTTCAAAGCAGGACTACCAGATTCTGTAACAGCTTTGTTACCTATGCCATCCACCTGGTACGCTCGCAAGATTAGTTTTTCTCGCCATGGACATGTATACGTCCGAATTAGACTGTGTTGTTTCTCTGGGTCATATAATATATGTGGGTAATGCATTTTTTTTTTGTCATGTTCATATAATATATATTGGAAGTGGTGACCCTTTGAGAGTCGTATGCAACTAAATTTCATTTTAACGTATGCCGATTAGTGTATATTTAAAGTGACAATAAAGTAAAGTTATTCTAAGCATTGATAAGTGAGATCTGGCAATGGATATCTGCAGAAAGTATAATTTCCCTCTACTTCCAACCACAAATTGCTAGGAAAAAAACTCAAAGGTTGTCCTCTCCCACTTGTTTGCAATTGTTGTTGTTGCTAAAGGTAACGGTGGTGTGTATTAGAGAGAGGAAGATAAGACAGCATATCAACTTATTCTAGCATCCCTTGCAAAAAAAAATCATGTCATGGATATGCTCTTTTGAGTCAGAGCAGCCTGAATCTCCCTCCCAATCTAAAAATCTCAGTTGTACCCTTTACGCCTGTGACTCTGTTTTTAAAATCCCTTCTTGAATAAGGTCAGCACGAAGTATACTTTTCATGGTGACATTTAAGCACCATTAAGCACGGAGTCTTTAAGGAAGCTCTCTGCTGGAAAAACTGATAGACTTCTGAATCAATGTAAAAAAAAATAGTGAATTAAATAGATTGCTATACCTAAATGACTGTGTGCAGCTACAACAACTTATGGTTGAAGTTTTGGTGTGTGCGACTGTGCATGAGAGAGCAGGATGTTGCAAGGGAGGATAGGATGTAATGAAATCCTTTGAAATATTGTTACAAAATAATTTCTCTTATTCCAAACATTCTATTTACAATCTCTATCCTTTTCTACACTAAATGCATTTATTTATTTATTTATTGCAAATGATCTTCTGCTTGTACCCTGAGGAATTGCAGTTAGCTATAACAGGAGGCTGCAGTTGAACATGCCATGATATTCACTGGGGATGTTGGGAGTATTTCACTGGCTCTGCCTTTTTCAATGAACTGAACTAATTCACGGTTGTCATATAAATACATGGGCTCAAATGTCATCATTTTTCAGACTCTGCAGCTCTCCAGATTATGAGCAGCTGTTGATTGAAAAGTGCGCTTAAAATGAATTATTTACAGAAAAATGCATTTTTCATAGGAGAATCAAATCAATTTTCTTTCCCCGATGTTTTAAACTCCCACTTAACTACATTGTAATGACAAACTCATCATCATAACAAACAGAAGACAGACGCTACAGAAAAAGAAAAAAATGCACTTATAAATCCATTTGTAATCTTAAGGATAAATATCCAATTTTAAACATCCATATTTATTATTTCTATTACTGTTTTAAATTCTGTTTAGATTTCATGATATAAACTTCTGGGAATATTTTTTTTTTAATCTGGCAGAGTAAAAGAGATGGAAAAGATATTTGTGCAGACATGGATAATCTACTAGGAATTGTTTTGTTGATATAACAAAAACATGGAGATTAAATGTGAATAAACAGTGTCTTACTTTCTCATCTACTGTTTTAAATTTTCAGCCAAAACTATTTCCTGTACTTTAAATATCAATCATTCAAAGAAAGATGCAGAATAAAACCTTGATTTAATTGACTATTTGGGAGAAGGAGTTCTGTTCTTCCTGAGCATTCTTTAAATGCAGACTTCCTTCCCTGTAATTATTTATATCACTTATGTAATGACAGACTTACATAAATTATACATAAATGATTTCATTTGCATTATTTACATAAACTGCATTATAAAAGATGAAATGCATGATCTCATTATGTAAATAATTTAAATTGGTGCAAATAAAGTAAAATTAATATTATTTTAAAGGCTTCATCCAGACATATTTGGATGCAATGGATTTGTCTGCTATTCTGGAGTGTATCTGGATGGAAAATTTCTCTTTGCATCAGAAGTAAACAGTTACAATAAAATAATGAATGTATTGTGTGTCATCATTTTACATGTTTTAGAGGAAAATGAACAATAAAGTCACATTAGCATTAATTGAAACATTGTGTATTTTCCCCCAGTTTTCTTATAAACCAGGGGTGTCAAACTCAATTTCATTGAAGGCCACATTAGAGTTGTGTTTGACCTTGTGGGGCTAGGGTAGGTGTGGTCAGGGTAGATGTGACCAGCTCAACGTTCCTTGTGTTGGGGGTGCCTATGGTGCCCCAAGCACTTTGCCAGCGAAAATGGGCTCCTGAGGTCCGTTTTCAGTTGCGATGGCCTCCTACAACCCTCTGCCAGCAAAAATGGAGCTTGCCCTCCCGAGCTCCATTTTTGCTGACAGAGGTACCACGGGCCAATGCTTCAATATCTGCAGGGCAGCCCTGCAGACCAGATGTAAGCACCCCACAGGTTGAATCCGGCCCACGGGCCTTGAGTTTGACATAGCTTATAAACTTTCCATTGTTCTATAAACAATAGAATAACAATTGATACAAAGAGCGTAATATATGCTCATTTTGTTACAATTTCTCCAACACAATCTGGAAAGAGAGAGAGAAAGGTTTTTAAGCATGAATCTGGAATCTCAGGAGACTAAACCTCTGGTCCCGGAGATCGGCTCAGATTGGATCCTGCAGCATTATCCGGGGACATGTATATTTGCCTTCATTCATGATAATCTAGAAAGACTGATAAATATAATGCAAGCCTAAGTAGCTGCAGTACAGGTATTACCCATAAATTATTTTTACATTTAATTCTAAATCTGAGAGAGATTTAGAAGGAACTTTTTATCATAAAGAATTCTAAGCTGTTTTTTTCCAAGAAAAGTTACAATAAAGGTAATATATATATATATATATATATATATATATATATATATATATATATATATATATATATATATATATATATATATATCAGTCGGTGCTTGACAGATGGGCAGTTAGCCAGATTCAGTTAAGTCCATTTGAAAATCCATTATCCTGCCCCTGTTGAAGCAGGGGATGATACCAAATGCCAACAGGGAGAAATAACATTGAGGTAATTATCAGGGTTATGTCACTTTATGAGCTCCTAAGAAGCAAATTAATGGCCGTTTCAGGACAGATGATGTTTGTCTCAATTATATTTGAAATTTTATATACCATCCAGAGTCCATGGGAGTTGGGCTGCTATAATAAATTTGAATGAATGAATGAATGAATGAATTAAAAATACTACTAATTAAAAAAATAATTAATAAAAATTACTAAAGATTCTGTGGGTGTCGCATGGCTTGGTGGGCATGGCAGGGGAAGGTTACTGCAAAAACTCCATTTCCTCCTGATCAGCTGGGACTCGGGAGGCAGAGAATAGATGGGGGCGGGACCAGTTAGAGGTGGTATTTACCAGTTCTCCAAACTACTCAAAATTTTTGCTGCCGGTTCTCCAGAACTGGTCAGAACCTACTGAATAGCACCTCTGGTTCTAGCTAAACCTTTACTACCTTGTTTTCTTCTTGCTCTTGCTCTTGCCCTCTCTATGTATCATAATTCCAGCTCAGTCAAGCCATGTTATATATCTGAGGAAGTGGGCATGAGTATATAAAGGCTTATGACTTAAAAGTAAGGGGTTTTCTTTAGGTCCGTTTTAGTCAGTGTTGACTTCTGGCAACTACCAGGACAGGTTCCATAAAGATTTTTTTGGCACGGTTTTGGAAATAGTTTGCCCTTGCGTTCTTCTTTCTAGGGCTGAGAGAGAGTGTGTAACTAGCCCAAGGACACTAGCTGGACTGATATCTTAATAAGACTAGAATTCAGGCAGTAAGGAGTTGTAAGAGAAAAATTAAGAATTTATTAGTCCTAAAAGCTGCTATCAAAATCAGGAACCTGGTAGCAACTTTTCTGATTAACTATTTTTATTAATTTATTTTAATAAATATCTATTTTAAAAAAATAATAAAGAAATTTATTAGTTGGAAGAGGTACTACAAGATTCCTGATGTTTTTTGTCACAGTAGAATAACATGACTTCTACAAGTCTAGTTTTTCTAGACTAATTGTCTTACTACAATTCCAAATTCTTTAGGATGCATCTAATCGATAGTTTAAAATTGGAAAACTTTGGCATTACTGTACAACTACCACAGCTTCCAATGACCTCCAATATGCTTCATAATAGTAGAGTCTCTGATAATGTTTACTCACAACGCTAAATTACTGAATGTCAGTTTTCTTTTTGAAAATGAAGTTGCTACTCCAGTGTTTGCACACTGAAACCATGGTATTAGTGTACCGCACTGGCCCAAAGTCACTAATCACACCTGCCACAGGGTTGGATCCTGAATTTCATGTCTCTGTCTAATCAAACCAAACCAAACCTGAGATCATATTGGGATTTTGAGAGACTTGATTGTGATGGCTTGACTTCTACTGCAGTCCTTGTTGGGTAACCAGACAGACTAGTTTTCCACAATGGCAAAGTTCACCAAACCAATACTATATCCCAGACAATAGTGAACATGATTTGATTACTCACCTCATCTGAGTATTGAAAAAACAGCACTGATAGGGGTTTAAAAACCACATGATGCAGAACATCAAACTTAGAAGATATAATATGATAGCTTTGATAAAGACATAGCAGTCAGTCAATAAGCATTAGATTTCTGTGTGTTATGAATGATGAATGAATGATGTTCTTAATCAGGATATCAATCTTACCTCCATTCATCTTTTGTTAGATTCACCAGAATATTCATTTCCTCGTCCTGCATAATCTTATAAGCAGCACTAACATGGTGGTTTTCAAGAACAGAGCGATCATTGTACAGAATAGCAACATCTGACCTAAATGCAGAGAAGGAACTAATAAGCCAGAAGTTCATAACCTGACTATGGTTTTATCCATCTGTTTTCTTAGTTAAATGGAGATATGGCTGGTTGAAATGAAACCCAATGAAACTTTCCCCGCTGGATGTGAGACTACAAACTCTGGCACCTGTAAGGCTTCTATATTTTAATGAAACTATTCATTACAATGAATATTCGTAGGTGGCAAAATGGTGTTATTTCTTTCTTCCATTTTCATTCAAATACATAGGTGAATAGGACCATCTCCCCTGATAAGAACATTGGATTGAATTTACTTTGCAGAGGCCCATAATGCCACAGGCAGCAGAAGCGTTAAAAATTAGATACTTTGTAAACAGAGGTATGATCCAAACATGCAATAAACAGAGATGATATAATGAAAACGTGATTTTATTATTCCTTCAAAGGAGTAATGGATTTTTCCCATGTACATTATCTCCTGGGAAATGAATGATTCTGTCATATCTGTCACTTTCTGTTTTTCTGATTCTTGTTTAATTTTATGTATTTTATGTACGTATAAGAGAGAAAGGGGGCGGAGGAGGGGAGGGAGGGAGCCAGGAGAGGGGGAGAGATAGTGTGAGAGAGTTTTATATATTTTACATATGAGAGAGGGAGGAGGAAGGGAGGGAGGGAGGAAGGGAGGGAGGAAGACAGAAAGAGTGGGAAGGGAGGGTGAGAGAGAGAGAAGAGGGCAGTGGTGGGATTCAAGTAATTTAACAACCGGTTCTCTGCCCTAATGATTTCTTTCAACAACCAGTTCACCAAACTGCTCTGAAAGTTAACAATCGGTTCTCCCGAAGTGATGCGAACTGGCTGAATCCCACCACTAGGGGATGGGAAGGGAGGGAGGGAGAGGGAGAGGGAGAGGGAGAGAGAGAGAGAGAGAGAGAGAGAGAGGTTGCAAAATACTAAATAGCCAGAAAAGCACTCAAAATATCATCATTTAATTTTGTACAACATGATGCAGCTTCAGGAAGCATTAGAAACATGGGAATTTTCAGGAGTCAGAAACTGCAGTGTACATTGATTTATTTTTGCCCTGGAACTCTGAATGGAAAGAGAGCTTTTCTGCTTCCACAGCCCACAAGGGCAATGCATTTTAGATCCAAATAGAGAAGGCTTGGAGTTTGAATCACTACAGGAGATGTAAAACTTTCATTTTGCCTGGAAAGCAGAAATACTGGAAAAAATAGATCGGTTTAATTCCCTGAGGAATGTGTGTGGTTAACACTAAAGTGAACAATGGGCAAGAAAAATTGAGTCCTCTCTCTAGGAGAGGCAGAAGATGTCTATCTGGATAGAAAGATTATTACATTGATATATAGCAGTACAACTATCTGATCCCATGGCAAAGTTAATGGATCTTTAGTGCAACTGAACACAAAATTCTTTACAAATGGGAACCAATCCAATGTTCTGGTGACTGTGTAAAAAAGTGTAGGAAACCAGCAATATCTCGGATATTAAATTCCAATTAACCCCAGCCCAAAGCAGCTGAGCCAATTGCTAAGTTTATTTTGCTAATGGCTAACTTTATAATGCCTTGGTAAAGCCACACTTGGAATATTATTGCATCCAGTTTTGGTCGCCACGATATAAAAAGCCACAGTATTATCAATATCAATTATTGATATTATCAATTTCAATATCAAGTATATTATCAATATACTACCTCACCCACCCAAAGTACTATTCATTCTATATAAATCTGAGAATCCCTCTTCCTTCCTATTAAACACATTTCTTAAAATAGTCAATAGGAACTGAGAAAACATAAATTGGAATCGTTGGGCCTACATTCTGTCTCACAGTGATAGAAAAAGGTCTACCGAACCAGTTTGACATGATGAAGTTTAATTATCAAGATCTGAGTTTAAATCCCTGCTCACCTTTGAAGCTTGAAATAGTGAGTCTCTGGATTCCAGGTAGTCCTCGACTTACAACAGTTCATTTGGTAACCGTTCAAAGTTACATCAGCACTGAAAAGAGTGCCTTGTGACTATTTTCCACAGTTACAACCTTTGCAGCATCCCCATGATCATGTGATCAAAATTCAGATGCTTGGCAACTGGTTCATTCTTATGACCATTGCTGTGTCCCAAGATCATGCAATCCCATTTTGTGACCTTCTGACGAGCAAAGTCAATAGGGAAGCCAGATTTACTTCACAACCGTGTAACCAACTTAAGAAGTGAAGTGGTTCACTTAACAACTGATGCAAGAAAGGATTGTAAAATGGGGAACAACCTCGCTTAACAAATGTCTCATTTAACGACAGAAATGTTGGGCTCAGTTGTGGTCATAAGTCAAGGACTACCCATAGTCACATTCTCTTTGCCTAGCATATCTCAAGGATTGTTGCGTGGATCCCTGGGAAGAATAGTGGAATGTAACTATGTGAAAATATATACATAAGTCTCTCAATATGGGAAGCCACTCTTAGTTGAGATAGACAACTCCATTCAGAAACCCAGAATTGTTCTCTTTGTGAATTGTGCAGATCTGAAGAACCATATTTTTTGGAGTATAAGACACACCTTATTTTGGGGGGAGGAAAATAGAAAAAAAAATTCTGCCTCCCAGGTTTTCATCTGGTTAGCACCCTTAATCTGGTCAACTTCAGCACTTAAGTTTGCTGGTTTTGAGCCCGCGCCCGCTTTTTATCCCCTTGTTGGGGATAAAAAAACAGCTTTTAAAACACAGCTGATCGTTGGAGAAAGAAGCAATGAGAAAAGCAGAGGAAGCCTGGAAGATCGCTTCACTCGTTAGTGCCTCATTAAGGCTGAAAAAAGCTTTGAAAAAGCTATATTCGGAGTATAAGAGCCCCCCAAATTTTCAGTCTCTTTTGAGGGGGCTGCATCTTATACTCTGAATAATATGGTACTTAATAACTAATTATCTCCATTTACTTTGTCTCTTTTCTCTTCTTGCTCTCACTCAGTACTCCTTTTGTCTTCTTAAAACTCAGCAACTATTGTAAGAGAGTCTTGTGTGCTGTTGGCATTACTGGTGTAAGTATGCATCATCTGCAAATCTTCTATAAATCCAACATGTGGGAGGCTACTCCCAGATCAGAATTTTGTTGCAATTAATAAGCATCATGCTTACCTGGTCTGAATGTGGAAATTGTTTGTAGTCCCAGTATGCTCATAGTCATGAACTGCAGCTGCAAAAATCATGGCTAATATTTCCAGTTCAGTGAGCCAGTGCTAATCAAGAAAAACAAAACCCATCATCTGTAATACAAATAGTTCACCCTTGCCAATTAAAATTCAAGGTTTTGCAAAATCTCCAGTTTCTTCAAGAGAGCATGAAGACGATTATAGCTTACTCCTGCACAAGTTATTTATCAGTTTCCTAGCAATATTCACAGAAATGGACCCTAACACAGTAGCTTTTGCCCTTACCATGATCCCAGTCAGAAGCATGATGCAATGTACAGTGTGGGTAACATCAGCTGCATGGATCAAGTTGTGGTAAGGATTTTTATACTTGCTGTAGCCAATTTCCAAAGCTTCTCCAAATGAAATGAGACATGGAACAGGAATCTGAAAGAGTCAAAAACCAAAAAGCAAAATAAAGAAAGGAGGAGGAGAAATCTCCAAGATCAACATGTCTGCAAGGTATGAGGTATAAAGGTTTGTATGATTTCACACATCATCCATTTACCAGTCCACACTCCAAATGTCACCAGAAAAAGAGGACAAGTAAATGAATAGTCTGAAGTCAACTTTGCACTTCCTGATAAAACAGGAAAGTGAATACTTCCAGTTCCCAATGGCCAAGCTCTATCACTTTCACTGAGTCACCTCACTATCTTTTTCTCACATTATCTCTATCTTTGTCTCCTGATAAAGGAAACAAGAACCATGGTGATTGGTCTGGTCACCTGGATGCAAAGGCAGTCCCTTTCTTCTTCTAATGGGCAAATTATACCAAAAAGTCTTGTATGTTTCCCTTGTATCGTCAACAAATAAACACAGCAATACCATTGCTTAAACCTGAACCACACCAAACAGGCAGAGAATCCTATCTTTTTTCCAAGCTTTTGGAATGGAACAAGCTAGAAATAAACCAGTCATGATTTTTATGCAATCATTACAGAGTGTCAAACAGTTCCAGCTGGGATTTCAAAAACAACAAAAATAATCTTCCTGACAAGAACGGAGGAGACAGTACGTGTTGTTGTCTATGATAAAGCCTATAGAACTTCACTTGAATTAACTATTGAGGAGAAACACCACCACCGATCATCTTTACAGTCTAAAGTCCCAGCCTTTGACCTTTCAAAATGCCGCTTCCTATCCTTTTCTTTCTATGTTACTTCTTATTCAAGGCACTGACCCATCATTGGACCTTAGCATCTGAAAGGAGACTCACAGCCTGTGATACTGTATTTGTCAGGTTCTGTTTCATGACAATGTTAGAGCTGATTCATTCTTTAGCTTTCTCACACATGAAGATGTTGGATGCCGACTTGTGTCTATTCTGCTCCTTCATTTTCATGGCAGATGAACTTGCATCATACATAGGCAAGACTACACTCTCCAAGTTCATCCTAGTAAAACAGCCCAAACGCATAGCATAGACAGAGCAGGTTCACCACTCTTTCTGCACGATTTGATCATTTTAGAAATTACTCCACCTATTGCAAGCAATCAAATGGAATGCATATTAAATTATTTCTTAATTTGAGAATGTATTGCAAATGTATATCACTGCTATTATGGACTTCCTTCTCCCTTACTGGTTGCTATGTGTCTTCGAATCTGCTAGAGAGACATATGAGATGGAAGGGAGGACAGGTGGAGAATGAGACTATTGAGGAAGCAAGAAAGACCAGGTACTCTTTGTCTTTTACATATGTATTTGTAGAGAAAGGTTCTCACCTTGAAACGGCTCAATAAATCATATCTGGTGAACAATTCATGCATCATAAATTTCAGACTGTGGCCTCCGCTTGCTTCGTTTAAGGAAAATATATTAAATGACCATTTGTCAACATCCTAAAAAATAAGGAAGAGGAGAGATGCTTATGGATTTTCTGATTGTTCAACATTTTTCAGATAGTTTTATAATTTGCTTAAATATTATTATAGCAATAGCAATAGCAGTAGACTTATATACCGCTTCATAGGGCTTTCAGCCCTCTCTAAGCGGTTTACAGAGAGTCAGCATATTGCCCCCAACAATCTGGGTCCTCATTTTACCCACCTCGGAAGGATGGAAGGCTGAGTCAACCCTGAGCCGGTGAGATTTGAACCGCTGAACTGCTGATCTAGCAGTAGCCTGCAGTGCTGCATTTAACCACTGCGCCACCTTGGCTCTTAGATTATAGATTAGATTATACAAACTGCTATTTCAGCAATATGTGAATGTATGTATGTGTATCAGAGGTGGGTTCCTACCAGTTCGCACCAGTTCGGTAGAACCAGTTCGTCAAATCTACCGAACCGGTTAGAAGAGGTTCCACCAGAAAGCAGGCCACACCTACAGAAGAGGTTCCAAATTTTTTTGAAACCCACCACTGACTGACACATATACACACAGACAGACAGACAGACAGACAGACAGACAGACAGACTCACACAGAGAAAGAGAAAGAAAAAGAAAGGAAGAAATAAAAAAATAAAAAAGAAAGAAAAAGTGTGAGAGAGATGAAAGATTAATCCTTAAAATTAGATGCATCTCTTGGGGACATTTATCTAAAGCAATCCTAATGCAGATATATAAAAAAGCTATATATAAGCTTTATTACTTTCAATTTATATCTAAATCCAATAATTAAAATGCTTGTTTCTTCAGCCCATCATCCAACCACTCTGGCTGACTGTACAATTCCAGGGCTATTGTATGCCGACAATGTTGTCTCTGTGTCTGTTTCATAGGAGGGAACAAAGCACTTAGGACATTATCTTTATTTTGCATAGAACAAACACTATCAATAAATTATTAGAAAACCAAAATCTTACTTTTTGCCCGGCATTGTTATGAAAGTCACTAATGGAAAATAAATGGGATTCCAGCTGAAAAACTGCACAGTTCAATTTCTTGCTTTCTTATCCTGGCATGCTCAATTTTCTTATCTAGCAAATGTTGCAAAGCCTACTTTCACAGCTATTGTAAGATGTTATCATTCAATAGGTAAATTGGGTGCAGGAATATCTATCAAAATAATGGATGCTGTTGCAGTCTGCATGGTCTTTCAAGCTAAGATAGCCTCTCAGCTTCTTTATTGCTTCCAAATTGGCTCCTTTGCAAGCTTAATATTATTGAAACCGTCCAAAATAAGTTTATTAGAGACTTACTGATGGTTCCAAAATGTATTAAAGATGCTATCTAATGTGTAGAGACAGGCATAATTTCATTGGATGCTGCACAATGGTTTCTTCTTCATACCTTCTGTCTAAAGTTAAGTCTACTTCCCATAGCTTTGGCCCCTTTAGTATTTAGAGATTGTTTTAAATCATCATGCCTTGAAAAAGCCCTTGCTAAAATTCAATTGCTGGCCTTCTCCATGGAAAATCTGTGCTTGCTAGGTTTTGATAATGGTAATAACACCTTAAGCAATGGATTTGGAATACAGATTTCCAAATAAGCTAAAATAATGTGTCACACCACAATATTTATCATTTGCATCCAGAAAGGCTCACCCCAGTCTCCTATTTATCATCTATTCCAATTCTGAAATTTCACATTAGTCAGGTTGGATTCTTTTCCCTCGGCAGTCCTTTTTGGCTGTTTCAAGGATACTCTTATTTTATTTATTAGATTTTATTCCGCCTTTATTATTATTTTGAATAACTCAACATGGTAAACATACTTAATTCTTCCTCCCATTTTCATCACAACACAATCTTGTGTGGTGAATTGAGCTGAGAGTGAGTGACTGACAGACCAAAAGTCACCCTAGTAGCTTTCATGTCTAAGGTGGGTGGGGCTAGAACTCACAGTCTCCTAGTTTCTAGTCTGGTACCTTACCCACCTTAGCAAACTAGCTCTCATATTAGCCATTAGTTATATCTATTTGGTTCAACATAGTTCAACAAAAAGTCTAAGCCACAAGCATTCTGTTCAGACCCTTATATATCCTATCCCTGTGATGGCAAATCTATGGCACGCATGCCACAGGTGGCACATGGAGACATATGTGCTGGCACGTAAGACGTCAGCTCCAGCACCAGCTGATTTTCGGCCTTTCAGAGGGCCGGGGCCAGGGAGGGTGTTTTTGCCCTCCCCAGGCTTCAGAAAAGCCTCCGGAGCCTGGGGAGGATGAAAACGGCCTACCCCAGGCCCCCGGAGACTTCTGGAAGCCAGAAAAGAATTACTTCTGAACTTCCAATTGGCCGTTTTTCACTCTCCCCAGGCTCTGGAGGCTTTACTGGAGCCTGGGGAGGGCAAAAACGGCCTACCCTGCCCCCTGGAGGAAATACCAAGCTTAGCTTGGAGGCAAGCAGTGCGGTGTGCATGGGGGGGGAGCATGGCGTGTGTGTGTGCATGCGCATGTGGAGGCATGCTTTGCATAATGGGTGCCAGCATGCACGTGCCCTATTGTGCACGTGCCCCCTCATTTTTGGCCCCAACTACAAAAAGGTTAGCCATCACTAAAGAAATTTATATTTAATACTATTTTTTTTTTAAAAAAACCAAGACCTTGAAAATAACCTTTGGTTGACTCATTTTGCACTACTTTGATATGTTATACAGCACCATTATTTAGATTTGAAACCAACTTCTTATAATAGTATTTTACCGTATTTTTCAGAGTATAAAACGCACCAAGGTTTTGAAGAGGCATTTTTTTTTTAAGTAGGTAGGTAGATAGAGGGATAGAGAGGGAGAGAAAGAGAGGGAAATACAATAGGTAAGTAGGGAGAGAGAGAGAGTGGGTAGGTATGTAGGTAGGTAGATGTTTCCAGGTGTATTTATCCATGTGCTGGAGAAGGAAATCACTGACAATCTGCAGCACATAAGACTTTGTTTCTGCTGACCCAGCACTTGATCAATGTAATTCTCATCAATCAAAGAGCTTTCCAAAAGGGGAAAAAAGTTTTTGCATTCTACAAACCTCCCCAAAATGGCCCGTTTTTTGTGACAATGGGCCCATTTTTTTTTAAAGGCATCAATGGCCTTGGGCGGGCTTGCAGAGTGCTCCTGCAAAGGGGGGGTGGGCTCATAAATGAGCAAAAAACAGCCAAATTTTCATGAAAACATTTTTTGTCAAAAACATTGCATGCATAGCCTTCTGGACGTTTATAGACTGCTGCTGCAGGCCGGGTGGGGGGTGCAAAATATGGTCCATTTTTTGCTCATTTCTGCCCTTCCCAGCCCCCTGGAGCTCTCTGAAAGCCTCCATAAGGCTATCCATGGCCATTTTGGTGAAGGGGCGGGGCTTTGGGAGACAAAAATGCTGTATTCAGTGTAAAAGACACACCCAGATTTTCAGCCTCTTTTTTGAGGAAAAAGGGTGCATCTTATACTCCGAAAAATACGGTATTTGGATTTATTTTACTATCTTTGTTCTTAAATTATTTTAGCTTCTATTACACATAGTTTATCTGCTATACATATATAGAGAAGGATGCAATAATTTTATATGATTTTCTAGCCTTAGGGCTATAATAAACTTTATTTCATTTGATTATGAATGATGAGGACTCAAATTGTTGGGGGCAATATGCTGACTCTGTAAACCACTTAGAGAGTAAAGCACTGTGAAGCCGTATATCAGTCTAAGTGCTATTAATCCAGACAAGAATTACTTAACTTTTTTTACATGGTCCAAGTAGGTACTCTAGTGCATGATAAGTAAAGAAAATCTAATGCGACTTAATCACATTGCCGAGATGGCTGTTAGCAATGTTTATGTTTGTAGCAACTTAAAATAAGATGAAATCAGATAATTCACTATTACCAGTGGTGGGATTCAAATAATTTAACAACTGGTTCTCTGCCCTAATGACCAGCTGGGTAGGCGTGGTCAGTGGTCCTGTGACCGTGTGGGCATGGCCAACTCAACATCACTTATGTAGATGGGCACTTCGCCTCAGCTGTTACAATGTAATAAGGATTAACCAGAGCAGTTTCTGTAAGCAGGGCAATACAGATTAGGCTAGAAACAACACCAGAATGTTTCCTTCCTGCCTTCCTTACAGGATTAGCCCTGTAAAGTGGAAAAAGACAAAATGAGATTTCTTCCAACAACCGGTTCTCGAAACTGCTTAGAAAGTTAACAACTGGTTCTCTCGAATAGGTGCAAACTGGCTGAATCTCACCACTGACTGTTACCATTATAAAATTGATAGACAGCATTCAGAAATATGCAGAACAATAGCTTTGTTTGCAGCAAGACTAAAGTCTTGCTGAAATGCCAATGTTATAACTATTTCCTTATGAAACCAGATTAAGAACTTGAACATTGTTTTCCATGCAATTTATACAGGAAGGGGGGGAAATCTGATTCCTATTTCTCCCAATAAATTTATTGAGAGAGATTGAATGTATTTTGTACAGTAGCTGAACTGAACTAACCTTAAAGGTTGCTATTACTTCAGCTGGATAAGCCAAGCCAATCATGCTAGACGTTCTTCGATACATTCTATAAGAAAGAAATATGAAATAAGGCATTATAGGACCTCACAGTTAAAATGATATCTTTATTCTCTGGGAGCAGTTCCTATTAAGTGTCATGAAAGCAAATGTAATATATGTAGAACTCTTAAGTCTGCATGAAAGACCGTTTTCCCCAAAGCAAGATATATGGATTTTCAACCCGCTGTCAATCACTTCGCAATCTCAGATCTTTTCTGTATCTATACCAATGGATGAATGCTAATCCTTTTTCAATCAAATCTTATTGCTAAAAGAACCTGGAAAATGATAATTTAAGCAGTGATATTACATTCTGTTTTCATATACACAAGCATTACAGACCTTTCAAATATTAATTATAATGAGGATTAACCAAATGAGTGAACAAATCCATAAATAACAGAATCAGGATATGCTTGCTTAGCAATTAACTTTTTTAAAAAAAAATATTTTTCTGTTCTCTTATTCCATAAAAACACAAAACACTAATCTCTTTCTGAGTTTTAAACTCATACTATTGTTTTCAGTGGGAAGACTGAAAAGGCATGAGAGAATTACAGTAAATATTTATGCAAACAATGGCACATATTCCTAAGTAAGTCTGAAGGCAATTACAGTCACAGAGTGCACTTTTATAAGCATTATCTTAAGTGTTCCTCACTGAATTCAACAAGACTTCTTTTGGTGCCTTCAAGTGAGTGTTGATAAGTCCTTCAAATACCTTAGTAAAGTAACCAAAGTAGTTTGCCATTGTCTCTTTCCTAGGGCTGAGAGAGAGTAGCTGGCCCAAGGTCACTCAGTCTACTGGTTTGTAGTATGATGTCTTAACCAGTACATCGAACTGGCTCCCCTCAACAACTGTTATACAAAGATATTTATATAGTTAAATGTTTATATGTTTAGTCTCAATTTTGATGTAAAAACGCCCCAAGCATGATGTTTGAGTCCAGATTTTTCAGTACTCAACTGCTAGCATCCAAGCTGTGATTTAGCTGTTTAATACCAGTTTTGAAAAAGAAGACCGTTTAAAATATTGTAAAGTAAAATAATTATTTCTTGCTTCTTGTTCTTTATTAGGATGATGATGTTGGTAACACATTCACCTGCTGTCGTATAATTAATAAAGGAACAAAGCCCACCTTTCCACAAAGATCCCAGCTTGTACAGCATGCACGATGCTTCGAAATTTTGGTTTCTCCTCTGGTCTCCTTTTGGTCATTCCCATTTTCCTCGTAAAGGTAGATGCTAACCAATCTCGTACTTCCAGTGGAACGGAATCTGATTGGATATCTGATAGTTCATCCTCCGTATCCAACAACCTCCTGTATATGCATATGTAGAAGACAGCACACAATAAGTACCGAAACTCTTAAGTAATTGGAATTATATCTCAGCATCTATATAACAACATTCTTTCCACATGAATGTACAACAGTGTAAGTCACCATTGCTCTATTTCACTGATGTCAAACTCGTGGTGTCACATTGCCATCACGTGACATATTATGGTGTTTTCCCCTTCATGGAGCTGGGGTAGGTGTGGCCTGCATGTGATGCATCCGCTGTGGGCCACTAGTTTGACACCCCTGCATAGAATGCTACTTTTTATCAATTGACATCAAGGATTCATCTACCTTTATATTATTTATTTCAAGAATGAGCACTTCAAATTTGTGGAACTACATACTTCAGTAGTTTGCTTTTTTACTAGAACCTCAACAGCCATAAACTAGTGCAAAATAGAAGCTGAAATTTGGAACAGAGCCAGAAGCAAAATGGTGACAGAGCCAATATCTACTGTTCTTTCCCTCTCCTCACAAAATGAGCCAACATGTATGAATACAAATCTACATCTGAAGTTTAGTATATATTAATCTTTTAAGGATCAGGAAACAGACCCCACAAAGATTATAGGAATCATATTTTATTGTTGGAGGGTACAATAACAGAATCTTGGAAGTCTGCCAGAGTCTCTCTCTCTACTACATCTTATGCCAAACAGAATTAATTCAGCTTATTTTGAGTTCATCCCTGTGCTATCAATTTTCCTGGGGCTGAGTTATAATTTTTCCTTTGTTAATGGCTCATCTATTCCTTCGTGAAAATTATCTCCGGAGTCCTTTATTGTACATCAGGCTTTCTGCTACAATTCTCTAAAATAGCATAGCAGAGTAATATAAAGTCCTTACTGAAGTACAGTAATAGAATACTTTTATTTTATGTGAGAAACACTGTCAGAGACATTAAATTATTATAAAGTTAGTTATTAGTATGACCCAGAACTACACTTGCAATTTTGGGGGGGAAAATCGGAGCAGAAATATTTGCAGTTAAATGGCCAAATATCAAGAGTAAACCCAAATAATTAGCCCATGTTTCCTTCCCTACCTTGACTCCATGATTTCAGAACGGAGTCCTTCAGAATTAACCCAAGACTTTGATATAAAAATTACACGAACCATTATTCAGCTTCTGATCAAGACTGATCAACCCTACTTATTAGAAACTAAATGTTATATCTTGCCTCATTTGGTTGCAAGGAAAAAAAAAAACAATGTGGTAACTTTCACAAGAGTTTTTGTTTGGCCAATAGCCATATTCGTGTGATGTCCCTCAGTAAATCAAACAGATAGTCTTACAAACTTCTGCTCATCATGCTGTTTGTATATCCCATGCATTTCCTTTTTTAAAAATAATTTTATTGACTTTTTAATAAGCATAATAAAAACAAATACAAATTGCACCACTGTGTAAGAGTAACCAGAATATAGGAAAGAGTGAGGCAGGGATTCAGGCAAGAGAATAGGGTTGTCATGAAAGGGCAGCAAATTATTTACTCTTTTATTTCTTAGAAGTGTGTTTTTACAACAAGGGGTCAGGAGAAATATTGTGAGATTTTCTGCCTCAGGGCCCAAAATAGTTTGGAAGACATGTGCCAGTGTGTATGCTCCCACTGTTGCTCTACTCTACCAAATATTTTCCATTGCTTGTATATTAAATTATTATATATCTATATTCCCAGACCCCCCCCATATGTATCATTAGGGGCTCAAATCGGGATTTTTATACATGTTATTATAATGGCTTTGTAGAGTATTTCCCAGAAGAAAAATGAGTTCCAAACCTTGTGAGTGTATCCCCACCCCCACCCCGTACAAACTTTAAAAAGAAGTCATTAATATAACATTTACTCAGTTTGTTAAGGAAATCAATATCCATATTTGAAACTTCACATGAGGAAGCTGCAGGGACAATGAAATCCATTAAGAAAAAAAAGTAAAAGAGAATGGTTTAGGATATGCAGGAACATTAACATTTACTACATGTACCAACAGAAAGAAAGAAATCATCATGAATTACTTTGGCCTCCATTGGAATTGGTGCAAAAATCCCCTTAAAGAAACACTACATATTATAAGGAGAAATCCAAAGGTTCCAACTTACCAAAACTCAATAGATATGGCTTTATGTCATCTTATTAGGGCATATGCTACTTTCATTGAAATGGTGATTCTCATTGTTCATTGAGCATATACAGATGTTCCTAATAGGCCTCGGGTACAGTACTATTAATTGGCAAGAAAATTCCCCCTCAAAAGGCACCATCGAGATCTTTCTAAAGACACATTAACTGGTTCTACTTTGTCTCTCCACTCCACTCCTGTCTAGCCTGTCATCTTCGGCAGAGAACCCTGGCTACCCCCAATTCTGGCTCCAGTTTTTCCTTCTTGAAGTTAAGATCCCCCCCCCCACCTTGTTTTTCCGGGATCAGGATGGCCACAGAATAGTAACAAGGCTAATGAGATTACATATATCGATTCTACTTCAGAGTTACCAGAATGTTCTCTAATGTTCAACATTTAAAAAAAACAACAACATAAAAGTAACAGTAGGATTATGTTAAAGTATTAATTACCAAGACACTAATTCCTATAAAATCTTCCTATCACTTTGCAAACATCTTCTTAGTCAAGAATAGAAAAGAAGGAATTAAAATAGCTGTCAATGTATTATTTTTTAAAAATACAACTTTGTTAATTTTTTTAAAAGATAAAAACTAACCAAAGCTAATATTTATAATAAAAAAGAAAGAAAGAAATAGAAGAAAAAGCCTAAAGTACAGAAAAAATGGTAAAGAAGCTGCTTTTGATTTTCTTTACAGCAGTTACAGATATAGATATACATTTTTATCCTATGGTTACAGCATGCCTTATATTTGTCTATATCTATTTTTTCTAATCATCAAAGCCATATATAATAATTTCCTCTTTTTTCTATTTCACCTAAAAAGTCTAAAAGGGCTTTCCAGTCAGCATTAAAATTAGATAATGTCATTTCCTTGATCAAAGCTGCCAATTTGGTCATCTCAGCAAATTCCATCGTCTTCCACATCCATCCCTCCATTGTGGGTAATATCAAATCTATCACATTTGTGTATATAATAACCTAACTGCAAATATTACAACTTTTTCCCACTATGCTGATGATAACAGCTATTTTCCTCAGCTATTTAAAATGAGAAAATTCATAATCAGTAGTTTTTTACTAAACAGATCTGACTGCTTCTTTTATCTGAGCAAGGTGGAAGAATTGCTACTTATAAACAGGCTTGTCCTCATTAATATAGTTAATGCAATATTTGGTGATATTTAAAAGCTTGTCCTCACTTGAACATAGACCAGAGGCCAAACATGTCCTCATAATATCGCCTTATCTTATCACCAGCCCACATTTGAGCCAGAACTACGCTGAGTTGCTCTCTGATGTTCATAATAGAAGTTAGTCTACAAAGAAGAATCTTATTAAAGATTAATTTTTGACTTGACACTAAAATAAAAAGTTGCTTAGCGTTTCAAGTCTTGAACTTTCTAATCAAAGAAACATATTTGAATTTCCGAATTATTTTAATTTAAATGCTCTTCATTATCCCATTTCCTCCTAAATTTCAGCAAAAAGAAATATAGATTCAGGTATTATTGATTTTTCTGCTAAAAGCTATTTATTATTTGCCACAAAAGTGGGAATTATATTTCAGAAATGCATAATGGGGTCCAGACTGGTCAAAGAATTTAATTGTCTCTATTTTTACTCAGTGAGCAGTGTATGTGTGTGTTTCCTACACATTTTCTTCTTTATGTAAGAGACCTTCGACATACTTAAGACAGTGACATTCCAAGTACTGCTCAACTACATCTCAGCTCTTGGGGGAAACGTCTACATGTTTCAAAGTATTATGTTAATAATAAATATTAAGGACATTAAAACTCTCAACAATGCAGCTGGCAACAGAGCTGTAAGTAAGAATAAGAGCGATAGTTCACTAGGGCTGAAACAGTATGTATCACTGTAGAAACAGCCTTCTCCAGCACAAATCAAGACACGTGTCGATAAAATGAGGGAGGATAACTGGGGCTGAAGCAATGTTTGTGGGAGCATTTCCCCCCTAAATGTGAAATACCCAAAGCCAATGCAATTTAACCCAATTCAACCCAACCCTCCCATTCGAGTAATGGAAGAAAAGCAACAAATGTCATTTTATTTTGATTCCTAAGCTTTTGCAAAGTTGCTTCTTCTGCTGAGATATTTAATTTCTTAGCCACACAGCACTCAACAGGAGGTGAATGACTCTTCCCTTCTTCCTTTCTTTTGAGTCTCTTCCTGATTTGGGGAAGAGAGTTGCATCCCATCTCTAATATGTCTGTGTATCACCTGTGGCTCATGTAGCACTGCATGGAAAATACTGACTTGAACAACATAGTTAAGGAAAATCTTGCCCAATGTTTTATATAGTGCCTTTGCTCTTGCCAAGAATTCTTATTTTACAAGGGGAAAGTTCCTATAAATATGTTAAGTACATGGCGGACACTAGGTGAAACCCACTGTTTCATGGTCATTATGTCAAGTAAAAATATCAACATGTTTTATAATAAATACTTAGGTTTGCATTTATACGTAAATAATTACCATAAATATTGTCTATGGGTTAATGATGGAATTGAGGGTGAACCTTTGAATATTTATTAAGGACACTCTGCTTTGAAATTTATTTATAATGTCAGTATTTTCCAACATTTTCCCTTGGGTCTCTTAAATTCTGAAGATTTGCCAGTAAACATCTCAACATTCACCACATACCCAACAATTATTAAGCCACCATCTTTTAATATAAATGCTAGATAATAACAAAATGTTTGTTTTTTGACTTTTATTTTTACCAACCCTTGCCCCATATCAGCTGGGAAACCTGTTTTGTTATTTAAATGTTTTTTTCTGTATTCCAGGAAATATTTTAATAGCTTCAATATGTGGAAACAAAATTGGTTTTTTTAAAAAGTTCAGTGACATGGAACATTCCAAGTCTTCATGAAATGTCCTCCTATGTTGGTGATATGCTTTTGAAACTCTCTTCTAACCTAATCCTAAAATGAAACATTTAAAGGGTTTATATAAAAAACCAGTTCTTTTTAAATGCAATTCATCTATTTCACCTTAAAATATATTGTGTGCCATGCCAAAGATAAATGAACAATAACAACAACAAACTTTAAGGAAAATGCTACATCTTGAGAAATTGATCCTTCTGTCATACTTATTTGTTTTGATTAATAGACAACCTATAAGAGGGAATGCAATTACCTTCTCCAATATGTTTACTGTTCAGAATACTAATTTTCTCATTGCCATGCTTACAGTTAATCAGCAAGGATTGCCCAACAATTGTTTTGCCTCTTCTATCTTTTTCCCAAAGTGTCTCTTGATGGAGAAACTACTTCTCATCGTATCGTCTTCTTCCCTTCCCAGATTCTATTCAGTAAGCACCCATTTTGTCCCACAGTCTAATAACTATTTTGTTACCTGTGACATGAGCAATGAGCAACAGCTCTCCCATTTCTTCTGAAGAGTCGAGCAGATGTGAAGGAATGTATATGTCTGTCATTCATAGGCAGTTGCATTCATATGTCTGTGAATTTTAATGTTCTGGCTGGGGGGCACTCAAAGAGCAAAGCACAGAACAAGAAGTTGGATCAACCAATCAGCATGCAGGGCACACAATTCCATAGTTAGGATTTGGGAGGTCTTTGCATTGTCCTGTCTACAACCATCTGTAACTTACACATCAATCCCTTTGCAGTGTAGGTATGTGGCAATTGTTACGGGCAGTTGCGTGCAACTCTAAATCAGCCTTAAACTGCTGTGCTGCTGTGGTTATAGTTCTGACTTAGCTCTGACTAGAAGTTAAAATCCTTGCAACCTACCTTATCATCAAAAGTAAGAGATTGTGGAAATTCAGACCATATTTGAAGAGCACCTGCTGGGGCAGAACTAAATTCCAGAATGCAACTGTTTGTGAATACTATAATATATAATTCTTTTTTTAAAATCAGTTTTCAGTTATCATAGGGGTAATAATATATTACAAGTATTTATTCCTCTTATTTCCTATGTATTATTTCTAGAAGCGTAAGGCATTCGTACAAGGTAAGTATATAATAGTCGATTCAATAAACCCTGACTGCCTGGAATTATCAAAAGGTCAGATCTTCAATTAAATAAGGAAATAGGCCCAGATGGACCAAAACATCCAACTATGATGAAACAGTCATAGTTGAAAGTACATTTTGTTCTCATTTAAATGTTAAAGATCAAAATACTAGAATGTACAACTTAGGTCAAATTTGATCTGATATCTGAGAAGATTTTGTTTCCTGGGCCATCCTAAACTTGATTTCAAGTAATTATAAACGAAAAATGAGAAACTGACTGTGAAATTATTTCAGTACAATTCAGATATGTATTGAACAGTATTATTTATAATGTGAAAAAAGTAATTTATTGCAAGTATTCGAAACACTTCTACTGTATATGAAAAGTAGCAGATGGCATTCTTTGCCTAATTTGCGTTTCTGTATTATCCTACAAACCTTTAAAAAACACAGTACTGTCCCTAAAAAGATGACAGGAGGAATGAAGGGAGATTCAAAGTAGTTCCAAAAACTCACCTGGTTTCATCAATGTATACTGCCTCCAGAACAGATGCTGCATATTCAATGTTCTTCTTCAGTTCAACCACGTTCACATCACCTTTCTCCAGCTGCTTCACCAAACATCTTAGTCTGTTGAAAACAAAAATCTAGATGGGTAACGGCAAAAACCAACAGCCCCTTTTAGAATGCAAGATAAACAAGCCTAAAGAGTAGTTAGCAGCAAAATATTTACATAATTACTCAAATTGTGAAGTAAAGTAAAAGTAATATTGCAAGTTTGAACATTCTCAACCAGATACATGTGGATTGCCTTCACCAAAGGCATGCAATGGTGTCCATTTATTTCACGGACAGTTTACAAATTACCCATTCTATAGAAATGAATGAGAAACATTAGAGCTTTTAAAGATATACTAGCATCCATGATTATTATTCTCAATCTTGACAAATGGAAGACAGCCGAGACTAAAGAGCGCATCACCCTGTGTAAGTAATTGTGTGAATTGAATTTAAATTGAATATGCCACTAGATCTTCTTCAACTATATTTTTGGATCTTCTTCAACTATATCATTTAATTTCTCTCACATTGGTTGCTGTTTACTCCAATGGGGACAAAGACAAGTCTTGTTATTGGATCCATTATTTCAGTGGACTGGAAAACTTCAAAACGTGATTTGGTAAAGGTAGGGTTCCAACAATATATTTTCTTAGTAGTGACAGTCACCCTTCAGACTATTCTGTCTCCCGAGGGACAAAGTGCACCCAACCTAATTCTACACTGAGGATGGTTTTCAAGACTTGATTATTTTGCAGTGAATTTGGATTTTGCCATATTTTAAATGTGATTTATCAAGGACGCGGTGCCTCAGTGGCTAAGATGCTGAACTTGTCAATCAGAAAGTTTGGCAATTTGGCAGTTCGAATCCCTAGTGCTGTGTAACAGAGTGAGCTCCCATTACTTGTCCCAGCTTCTGCCAACCTAACAGTTTGAAAGCATGTAAAAATGCATGCAGAAAAATAGGAACCACCTTTGGTGGGAAGGTAACAGTGTTCGGTGCGCTTTTGGCATTTAGTCATGCGAGCCACATGACCATGGAGACGTCTTTGGACAGCGCTGGCTTTTCGGCTTTGAAACAGAGATGAGCACCACCCCCTAGAGTCGGGAATGACTAGCATATATGTGCGAGGGGAAACTTTACCTTTGAATATGATTTGCTTGTTAGTACTTTGTGAGACTTAGATCCTACTTTTTAAAAGTTCAGGAATTCAAAGTGGCATGCAAAGCTCTATCTTCCCATTTTCTTCCACAACCATCAACGTGAAGAGGTCGGACCCAAAGTATCTGATATGATTACAAACATCTTGATTCCAAGGAAGCAGGTGGTACATACAGTCTTGTGCACCTAAACAGAGAAATCTCTCCCTCCCACATGAGATGTAGCTGACAAAGAGCAACATTGCAGAACTGCTGGATACAGAAAAGTTCAGTGGTACATCTTTGTTTGGAAATACCCTCATCGATATTTTACTAGAAATAATAAACAATGCACTTGAACTAAAATAATTTGGTTTGTTCTCATGAAGAAAAAAAATTGTTTATACAACTGTGTTGAACATTTTCTCCACGCCTACAGGTGTTTCCACTGTTTGTATTCACAGCTATATAAAGCAACAAAACAGGCTGTCACTTTAGCATTTCATTTGTACTCCTGGTATAATTTTGTTCTGTTTATTTTGGTCAGGTGCAAAGTCTATTACCATTTCTTTTTGCAAAGCAATTTCTCTGGATGGAGTTTTGACTTAAAAAAAACACCAGTAGAAATAATAGAACAAATACAGTTAATGGAGCCTTTGAGATACGTCATTTGTAACTCCCCAGGGAAACATCAGATCACAAAATGGTTTTTTTTTTTTAGCATTCCAGCCTACTGCTACAGCTATTCTGTGGGGACCTTTCTAGTTCACTTCTGGATAAATGCAGATGATGAGTTTGTTATGCATGAAATGTGGGAAAGTTTGCTCGTTTATTAAATCAATAAAGCAGCTGATCGATTGCAAGCTACTTTGTAGCTAGCTTTGCTCCACTTTGACTCGGTGTATTTTATTTTATTATCGTCCCTAATTGCTTATCTGTCTATCATTTTGATATGAAAACACAAGCCAGCTCAAGGCATTTTCCGATCTGAGAGAAGCTTCCTATCAAGTTGCTGTCAGAATCGACCTATTAGATTTTGTTTAAATACTTTCAATCACCTTAGGTTACAAATCTTTGCCGCGGTTGAGTATTTTTTAATTATTTATTATATTTTTATATCACCCATCTCTAGAGATTCCAGACAATTAGCATCTAAATAAAAATAATAATATAATGGTAATCAAAACAAAAATATACAATAACAGTTTACAGAATGGAGTGGAATAGAACAGAATAGAAGCCTTGGAGGTCTTCTAGTCCAACCCCCTGCTCAGGCAGGAAACCCTATACCATTTCAGACAAATTGCTCTCCTAGAGGTGACAAATGGTTGAACTAGAGGTGAGAGAAACATATATGAGGGTTAGAAACAATCTGTACAATATCTTTTAATCTCCACATGATCTTTTAAAGAGAAATTTTTGTTGCTCTGTGAAAAGATGAACCTGGCATATTCCACATGCATGAGTTGTTTCTGAATCTCCCTTTTGGATCTGGTGAAGAGGTGAAACTCAAATCTCCCTTCATGAAACAAGACCTCTGGACAAAATCATTCCATAGGTAGATTATAAATCATTATAATTTGCAATATAACAAGATCTGGAGGACAATGGTGCTGAAGAACTTGATAAGACTATTGACCCTTTTTATAGCATACTGGTCAAAAGACATTCAGCCAAGTGTTGCCAGAAGCATGCCAGAGGTTTTGCTTACATCAGGAAAAAAAATCAACAAAAGATCAAGGTAACAATTAATATGATTTTATTAATTTTGGTAGGACCAGAACTCTATTCTTGCTCACGCATCATGGCCATACAAGATTTGGGGTACAGAGGAGCATTTTAAATGAGACGCAAAATTAGAGTTCATTTAATTTCCGGTGAGAAAATTAGTTTTACATTTCTGCATCTTGTGTGAAAAATTAAGCTACACTGGTGGACTCCCTTCAGCATTATTCATGCCTAGATAGAAAATAATAATTAATTGAAAATAATGAGCCTCATGAGCTCTTCCTTCAGGATTCCACTAAACTTTTGCTCAGTATCTGAGAAAGCTTGATTAATTGTTGTAGACAAAATATTAAAAAGCTACACAATGTCTCCTAATATTCCAACTGTCAGAAGTGCCATATCACTGAAGCCTTCCACTATCACTTTCTGCTTATTTATTAATATAAAGGCCCAAAGTTCAGGTTTGCAGGTCAACTTCCCCAAGTAAATCTGCAAAATCCAGCCCTATCATAAGGCAGAGGGAAGCAGCAATCTCTCAAAACATCCAATGCTAGGCAGTTGCTGGAGGTGATGGAAAGGACACCTTGATTCTTCCCCTTGACAGGGAGATTGGTAGAAAAGCATAACCACCTAAGCTTATCTGCTATGTCATGCATGGGGAAAACTCATGTGCCTCTCTGCTATTGTTGAAGGAACATGTATTGGTCAGGTTTCTTTCTATAGATGGAATGGGTGAAGACACTATCTTACCTTTAAACTGTAGGCAATAAAATGTGTGAAGATGTTGGCAGCAGGGGTGGTATTTACTTACCTTCCCTACCGGACCAGTTCACAAATGTGAGCAAGCACCCAACTCTGCACATGCGCTAAACCTTCCGCACATGTGGTTTTCGCTAAAAAAAGGGTCTAAATGGAATGCCGTAGAGATGGGGCGGATGGGCGGTGCCACCTGCGATTTCTGCTAATGGTTTGGGTGAAGCGGTTCAAACCGGTAGAATACCACATCTGGTTGGTGGTACTCCTTTGTGTGAATGGCTCTTCCCATTTATCTCAACAAAAGAAACAACTAAGGGGATTTGTTGCCTCGTGCTTGAAGCTGCTTTCTCACATGAACAACAGTGCAGAACTGGGAAAGTGACCTGGTCCTAAATGCACAATGCTTCCTCTCATGCCCTAATTATCAATTGGATCACATAAACGAGGGGAGAGTATTCCTGCCACGGGCCAATCAAGGATTGCTGAGTAGATTTTAACATGCTATAAGCCTCCTTGGACATCATTGGATTATAAAACAAGACATGAATCCTTCAAATGTTTCCTCCATGAAATAAGCAGAGGAACTCAGAGAACCACGAGTGCTCCCAAAACCTTCCCACTGACTTTTGGATAAACTATTTCATGGAGTGCAATACTTTGCCCATATATGTATATTTGATCTCTAATGGGCTACTTAGTGTTGGATGTTGAACAATGGTTGGTTTTGCTATGATCCACTATTCTCACCTACAAAAACCAGTTTTCACTTAGTAATGTCAACCCAATTCAGTAGGCCTAGAGTAAAATACAGTAAAGTCAGGGAAAAAATCCTCATGCTTCTGCCTGGAACCACGACCATCAACAGCAGGACTGTCAAACTCCAGGCCTGTGAGTCAGAGGTGTCACACATTGGCCACACCCACACACAGTTTTGTGAAGGAAAAAGTCCTGATATGTCACATGATGCTGCCGTGACAATGTGAGTTTGACACCCCTGATCTACAGTGTGTGTATACATATCTGTACAATCATGTTATAAACATTTCTTTTTATAATTGTGCCTTAGAGATCAATATTTTTTTTAAAAGAGATTCTATGGGAAGGAACTACTCTAGCCCCAGATAAATTTAGTCACTGTTTTTAGTTTGGACAAAGCTGTATTTTGGAAAACTATCTTTGTTTTTAAAAGCTTGAAAAATCATTTCCAGACAAACAAAGCAATTAACCTTGAGTTATTGTGCAATTCCACCTTTCAGTTTGCTAATATGTGTACTCAGAAAAGCAGAATAATATTTTTGGATTAAGTTCCATTTTATGAAAAATACATTCATAATAGGGGATACAATTTTATAATTTTATACCATTTTTTTCTGACATTTCAGATCATTTGCCCTGCAATAAAATTTCAGGTAGATTAATTGCGCATTTAGTTATATTTGAATTTTTAA